GAGGCTGAAGAAAGTGCCTCCTATGAAGGGGGGTGGGGGAGCGCTGGAGGATGGGGAACAAGTAACACTAGCGGCTGGGGAGACAACGGCGGAACCTGGGCCAACACGAGCGACGGATGGGGCGCCGTAACTAGTGCCGACAATAGCGGTTGGGGTACTTTCCGTGAAGAACGAATGGGGGGAGAGGATGAAGCTGATGAAACTGAGGCAACATCTGCAGTCGTTCCTCTTGGTCGTCCCCCGCGTCACATTCCACTCGCACCACCTCCTCCTGACAACCCCCCGCGTCGCGATCCATGGGACATCATCATCTGGGGCAACGAGCCGTCAACCCCACGTCGCACCGTCTACGGACCTGCCCCTGAACCACTCGAACCAGCGTTCGTACTTGGCACGATCCCCGGAACCAACATCCCCTACTCCATCATCCGCGACAGAGAATTTCTCGCCCTCATGCTAATGACGGCGAACGAGGAAGAAGAAGAGCAGATGGAGTAGCAGCAGAACCTGCTCCTGTACCTGACGAAGACCCTGAGGAAGCGCGCGCGCACTACCTACGCACCTCCGGTTTTCGCACTGACGATACTCTCTAGCACCATCACGTGCGACGCTGAAAAACTGCATCGACGCAGGCGTCTTTGCTCCTGGCGCACTCCTGACCTAAACCCAGTACGGGTGCACAACCTACTCTCGACCACCGCCATCACCAGCAATCTGTCCCCGCACGTCAAATGGACCGGGACCAAAGGGGATACCTCCATGCTACGCGTATGGGGGTGCATGGTTCAATGACGCCCGCCGACTTCAACCATCGGCAAATTCGCCCGCCGGGCGCGCTGGGGGATCCATCTCGGCATCAGTCACGAGTACAAGGCGTGGATCGTGCTAGACCTCCTCGGTCAGAAAATCGCTCAGAAAATCGCTCACGCTCGCGACATCATCTTCTACGAGCGGCTCTTCCTCGATCAGTTCCGCCGCGACGAAGAAACGAACGCGAACTGCGTCTACGCGAACAATGGGCACAGCTACGCAACGCCCGAAGACGAAGCCGCTGCAGCAATCTTGGAGCAGGACACGAGGGACGAGTTCGTGTGGGAAGAACGACGCAGCAGCGACGACGACGACGACGACGACGACGACGACGATTCCTCGGGAGGAGGAATGGGCGCAGCAGGCGGAAGCGGAACAAGCGGAAGCGGCAGAGGCACAGCACCACCAGTGCCTCCTGAACCAGAAAGCGATGATGACGACGTGCAGGAAGTCGTCACTCAACATCGCCACAACAGCACTATCACCGGCCTCCAGCTACTTGGACTACACGCTGCCATCTCCACTGCTCCGCGCATCACCAAACCTAAGAACCCACGGCAAGCTCTCACACGCCCACACAGCAAGGAGTGGCGCGAAGCAATGGACGCGGAAATCCGAGCACTCGAGTCACGCGACACCTGGGTGCTCGTCGACCGTGCACCAGTAAAGGGGAGAAGGATTCTCTCCGGCAAATGGGTGTTCCGAGTGAAGACACGAGCCGACGGAAGGATTGAGCGATTCAAGGCACGCTGGGTGGTGCGCGGCTACGACCAAAGGCACGGGATCGACTTTGACCAGACATTTGCAACGGTCAGCCGTCACACGTCCGTCAGAATTCTCCTCGCCATCGCAGCCGCACGACGCCTACCACTCTAGCAGATCGATGTGAAGAATGCGTTCCTGTACACATTAGTGGACGCCGTAATCTACGTGGAACAACCACACACTTACGGCGACGGAGACCCACGCGTCTGTCAGCTACGCAAGTACCTCTATGGGATCAAAGAGGCACCGAGACTCTGGCAGCAGTATCTGCACCACATACTGATTGAAATCGGGTTCAAGCAGCTGCCTCACGATCCTGGAATGTATCGCCGCGATTTCCGCGGTGAATAATTTCCGCGGCGAATACATCCTCCTCACGGTCTACGTGGACGACCTTCTCTACACACGCTCAAGCAACAAACTGCTCGAGCAGTTTGAGAGAAGCCTCGCAAGGCGCGTCGACATCACCTGCAATCATGACGTGAAGCAGTTTCTCGGACTCAACATCACCTACTCGCCGGAAGCCATTCATCTCTCAGCCGCAAAGTATGCGGAGGAACTTAGCAAGCGCTTCAACACTGCGCCTGCACCACTCTCCACCCCTTACCGCACTCCAGGACCCAACCACAAGCCTGACAACAAAGCCCTGTCCCCTGCTGGGATTCAGACTTACCAGCAGCAGTTGGGATGCCTCCTCTTCGCCTCTGTCGCTTGCAGACCAGACCTCTCGTACATCGCAAGTCATCTGGTGCAGTACTCACACAATCCAACGGCTGAGAATCTTCTGGATCTGCAGCGCGCCCTTCAGTTCTTCGTTTCAACGCCCAAGATTGGGATGTGCTACTCAACTCCACCAACTCCATCCTTCAACCGCATCGGCTATGTGGACGCCGATCACGCAGTAGACCTCGATAATCGACGGTCCAGGACTGGCTTCCTGTTCCGACTTGAGCCAACGGGACCAATCTCCTGGAACTCGCAGAAGCGGGAGTTGGTTGCCCCGTCGTCAGCCGAAGCAGAATTCATCGCAGCAACCGCAACAGTTCGCCAAGGCCTCACTTGCAGAAGCTCCTGCAAGAGGCAAAAATTCCAGCCTCGCCCACATTTCGCCTTCACTGCGACAACCAGAGCGCGATTCGCATCGCGAACAAACCTGGTTTCATCAACCGAACCAAGCACATTGCGCTGCGGTACTTCTTCGTGAAGGATGAGGTGGACAAGGGCAAGGTCAACTTGACCTACTGCCCGACCGGTGACATGGCAGTAGACTTCCTCACGAAGCTAGGAGCAAGGCCAGCAGTATCAGCACTGCTCCGAACTCAGCGGCGTGGTCAAGCAAGTCAAGTCGAGTTGCGGCCAAGAGTGAAGGGGGGTGTTACGAATAGTAATACTTGAATATTACTATGCACTCCTCACCGCAACAAAGAGAAGCACGCAGTATCGCGAATGAACGCGGAGCGTCAGATGGTTGGAAACGACTCGAAGCGTCAGACAGTTGGGACGCATCTGAACCGTCGGAGCATACAGCATCAGGCAGCTGCAGGCAGGATGGTTTCGGCGGGAACAGTTTCGTAACTGTTCGCGCCGCACGGTTGGGAATGTATTTGAATAAGGGAATGTACCCCTTAGAGTACATGGCTAGCTAGGTCAATTCATATTCCCCTATACTCTTATTTATATCGTTGTATTTGTATATCTTAATCATCTCAAGCATTTACATTCACTCTGCTATTGAGGTCAAGGGCCCACCAAAACTACTTCTCTGCATGCGAACCTTCCTGAGTATATCCTAGGCCACGATCAACTTCTGATCGCAGCACATAATACCCTAGGGTGTTTTATCCGGGAGAATACAGTATATATTAGTGAACTCTTGAACTAGCCTTGTGGCCGCTTTCTTGTGCTCAGACTGTGTGGTGACTTTGTGATCCACCCTTAGTTTTGTGTCGTTGTTTCGATTGACTGGTCTTGTGACCATTTGTGTCCCTTGCTTGCTTCGATGCCGTGTCAAATGTTGTTTTACATGTTTGTTAGAATTGTAGCCCAAATAGGGTTCACAGTAAGGGGAACATGAATTTTCAACGTAACTTCTGAGAGATGACATCTAGATGTTGAGCGAAACATGCTTCCTTGAGGTGGGGGTCGATGTCAAACTATATTTATATATCTGTTAGATATGTTCAGCTGTAGTGAGTTGCATATTGTAAGCATTCCTACTTGTACCCCCTTTCTTTACTAGTCTATCATTCTAACTCAGAGATGGTATCATGCGCTTTAGTTCCTTGGCAAGGTGGACCAAGAGGGGAGTCTAGTGGTGCCCTACCTGGCATACTGATGGGCGTGGCTGCCCCGAGCCTAGTCCAGATCCTTGATAGGGAGTGCTCATATCAATCTTACATCTTTTATATATATTTTTACTGACAAATAGTGTTAAAAAAAAAACAAGATTTGCATCAGGGCTCAGGTTTGCAGTGTAATTTACCCTTCTATACTGATTACAAGGGTGAATTTTTGGGTCTACACTGATGTGCTGGGGTAATTTTTTGGTGAGTTAGTGTTACACTGATCTGTAAGTGTAATGATTTAGGCCACACTGATGCTCTGGGGTATTTTTTCCCTTAGCGAAGATTACCCTGAAGAGCGTACAGGGACTCCCCCCCCCCCCTCGGAAACTCTACTTATTGAGAAGAGGTTTCCTAGAACTTTCGTAGCGATACACCCAATTTCGTAATGATGCACTACGACGCCAGCACACGTGAGTACTGACAACCGACACCGTGTCACTCCGTGTCTGCTTGCAACCTACCCGTTACTGTAGAGGCGATGCAACCTGATTGGTCGAAGCTGCACTCTCTGCAAGAACGTCAACCTTCTTGACTCGGAAATTTGGGACTCGAGGTTTCCGAACACACTCGAAATTTGCTGACTTGGCGAAAAATACAAGTGTTGCAGCGAAACCAGACAAGCCACTGCGCTCGACTTTTGAGTTCACATCACAACTCCCACCCACCAGCGCCCAACTTACGATAGTAATCGTGCGCGATTTGGGCCTCGAGCTTGATTGCAGCCAGCACATATTGAGCAGCCTAAAGTACAATCAGGGTAAAAAATATACCTACACTGATGCCTCTGGGTAAAGTTTTCAAAACTTCAAGTTACACTGATCCATCAGTGTTTCCAAAAAGGGCACACTGCTCAGAAGGGTTTTGAAAATGTCTACACTGCTAATCGTGAGTAGGCAAAATCCAAACCTAAGCCCTGATTTGCATTGAAAATATTGCATACAAAAATCACATCAATGCATTCCATTTGGGCACCGGAATCATGCACAACTCGGCACACAACATTTACAGTCCAAGCAGACCCAGAAACCCCAACAAGAATGCATCAAACCATTACTTACAAGAAGAACAAAAAGTCTCAAATTATTCCCGGTTCCAGTCACTATAAAAGCCCTTCACTCCTCCAACAAGAGCCTTCCCTTTATTTCCTGCATACACCCGTTCCGCGCCTCTTGTTCGTTTTCCCATCAGCCTACTCTGCTCCACCCTCTCCTCCTCCTGCTTCTCCAGCTGTCGCTGCTGCTGCGTGCTGTGCGTGGGCCTGTGTAGCAAGTCGGCAACAGGCACAGCCTGTGGCACCCCCAGCTGGTACTCCCTCCGCATTGCCTCGTCATTGCCCACCACAAGCGCTGCAATGCGCAACTGGGATGCCTTCATCTCCTGGAGAGGGGAGAAAATGGGAAGAGGCGTGAGGGGGGGAGAAAGGGGGAAAGGTGGGTGAGGGGGTTGCGTTCATGGAAAGTCTCAGAAGTCGCTGACAGGCACAGTCTGGTGCACCCCCTTCTGAAGCCATGGGGATCGCGCATACGGCCTTCATTAATAGGGGATGTGGGGGGAGACGAGTAAGGTGGGAGAATGGGGGTGGGAGGGAAGGGATGTGGAGTTGTGGAGTTGGATGTGGGGATGGGGATGTTGAGTGCTACTAGTGGTTAAAGTTAGAGGAATCCAGTTAAGTGACTGCTGAGTGACTGCTGTGGGGACAATTCTGAAGGTGTGGGGACAATACACACGTCCCCCCCCCCCCCCCCCCCTTCCCCACACCTCTCCTTCATCCCTCTTGCTCCCTTCTCCCCTCCTCGTTCTCCCCACCTCCTCACCACACACACACATCTCCAGAACAAAAACGTGAACTCACCTCTACATTATCACGAGCGGACTTGGCAATAGCGTCGAGTGCAAGAATGAGAAACGGGTTCTCAATCAGAATCCCAACCTCATCCACGGAGAAAAACACAAGGGCGGACAGCAGTGCGACGGGCAGCGTGAGCAGGCCGCAGGAGTCCCACAGGCCGAGGGGGAGGAGGAGGTGGAAGAGGAAGAGGAAGCGCGAGGTCATGGTGGTGTAGGAGATGGGGATGGGCGTCTTGAATATGCGCTCACAGCCCCCCACGTCGTCCGCAAAGGTGGCCAGGTTGGTCTCCTGGAGGGGGGGCAAAAGGGGGGTGGCGAGGGGGAAGGAGGAAGGGGGAGGGGTAGGGGAAGGACGCATGGAGGGGGTATGATGATGGGGATGGGCGCCTTGAATATGCGCTCACAGCCCCCAATCATCTGCAACCGTGGCTAGGTTGGTCTCCTGGAGGGGGGGTGGGGGGTGAGTGGTGAAGGGAGAGGGGTCAGCAGCAAGCAGCGAGAGGTAAGGGGCGACGGGCGAGGGGTGAGGAGGAATGGGGAAGGGAAAGAAGGATGCATGGAGGAATAAATGTGCACCCAGTACCATTGGCACTAGCATCAGCAGCAGCAGCATCAGCATCAGCAGCAGCAGCATCAGCATCATCATCAGCGTCAGCAGCTGCAGCTGCAGCAGCAGCAGGATCAGGGGGGTTGAGGCACTCACCATGGCAAGGCGGTGCATGGGGTGCAGGGAGGCGCAGGAGCGCATGCACTCGGCCAGCACTTGCAGCACGTAGTTGGGGCGATGCACTGCCCCCAACACACCCTCCACCTCCCTCGCCCTCAGCGATGTGAGCTCCTGCACCCATGGAATGAGGGAATGGTGATGGCGTGGGGTCGGGTAAAAGGGGGAGGGAGGGAGGGAGGAAGAGAGGAAGAGAGGGTAAGCGGTGGCTGCATGGTTTGCTTGCAGAGGGACGAATATTATTCATACCTACTCCCTTCAAACTCTTTTCCATACTTGACATATCCCATCCACCCTCTCCCTTCTCTCTTCCTTACCCCCACATTATCCCATCAATCTCCACCCAGCAGCCCTCTCCCCATGCACCTCCCCTCTCGAGCCCGCATGCCATGCGGCATGTCCCCTCACCATCAGGTCCGTCCCACGGCTGCCCTCGGCCACCAAGTGGTGCTTGCTTGCACACCATCAACTCGAAAGTCATCACCAATGGGAACGCCTGACTTTCAAATCGACTCGAAAGTCACCTCCCTGTCAACCTCCTCACCCCAGCCAATGAGCCCTCAGTATACTGCACTCACCAGCAGGTCTGTCTCAAGGCTGCCTTCCGCCACGAAGTGGTGCTTGCACACCAGGGGGAACGCCTGCACGTGCCGCAGGAACCGCTCCCTTCTCCTCTCATCGCGTTCTCGCGCCGCCACCCTTGCTGCCGCTCCTGCTGCTGCTGCTGCTGCTGCTGTCCCTGTCTCCTGTGCTTGCGCCTTCATCCCTCCCACAGTAAACCCATGCCTTGCGGCATTCACCATTTCTTCAAAATGCCCGTTCAGCTGCCCATTCACCTGTCCGTCCACCCATCCGTTCACCTTCCCGTTGACCCGTCCGTTGACCCGTCCGTTCACCTGCCCGTTCACCTGCCCGTTCACCTGCCCGTTCACATGCCCGTTCACATGCCCAGTGACCAGCCCATTCACCCGTCCGTTGACCTGCCCATTAACTAGCCCCACTGGTTTGCCATTCCATTGACCAGGTGCTCCCACACTCGCCCGACCATTACTGCCAGCAGCAATGGAAGCAGCAGCAGCGCCATTCCCATTGCCATTTATGGTAAGACTGCCATTAGTGGCAGCGATGCCATTAACAGCAATACTGCCAGCAGTTGTAGCCCCGCCATTACCGGTAACCAACCTCCTAACCTTAACACCACCACTAGCACCACCCAGGGCACCATTCCCGGCGGCAGCAGCAGCAGCAGCAGCAGCGGCGTTGGGGGAAGCAGAGAGGGCGGAGGGAGGAGGGAGAGGGAGGGGCGTGTCTCGACCCATGTAGCAGAGGGCCTGGCGGGAGATGTCTCGGGTGCGGTTGAGCATCAACCCCCACATCTTGCGCGCCTGCAGTCATACAGTGAGGGGGAGAGGGAGGGAGGGAGGCGGATGAGGGGCGCGAGGGAGGGGGGTATCGCGGCCCATGTGGCAGAGGGCCTGATGAGATATGTCTCGGAAGCATCAACCCCCACATCTTGCGCGCCTGCAGGTGAGGGGAGGGAGACGAGAGGGGAAGAAAAGGGAGAGGATGACGTGGGGAGAGGAGGGGGGCGAGGGAGGGGCGTGTCTCGGCACACTTAGCAGAGGGCCTGGCGGGTGATGTCTCGGGTGCGGTTGAGCATCAACCCCCACATCTTGCGCGCTTGCCGTCATACAGTGGGGAGAGGACATGGGGAGAGGAGGAAGAAGAAGTGGGGAGAAGTGGGAGGAGAGGGGGAAAGGGTGGCAGGATGACTGTGGTTGGAAGGAGCAGGTGAGGGTTGGCAGGTGAGAGGGGGCGCGGAGACAATTCATGAGGCGCCTCAAAATAGTGCAGGTGAGGGTTGGCAGGTGAGAGAAGGCGAAGAAGGTGAGGATAGGTGGTACTGGTGGAGCGACGCGCTCTAAAGAAAGGAGGGCTATGGGAAAGGGGAGAGAAGGAGCGAAGGAACTGGGGGAGGAGGAGAAAGGGATAGTGGTGGGGACAGTGCTGGTAAGACTCAGACACTAACCGCTTTCCCGCACCACTGACCACCCCACACCATCCCCATCAACTCCATTCATTAAAGAAACTCGTTAATCACCACCAAGCCCTCCACCCTTCCGCTCCCCCAACCACCCCCCCTCCCCCCCCCCCCCCCCCCCCCCCCCCCCCCTTTCTTCCCTTCCCCCTTCCCCACCACGCGGCGCCACCCCTCCCCAATCCACGCGCGTACCTCGTCGAAGCGCCCATAGCTCGAGTTAGTGCGGAACACGAGCAGGAACGTCAGCGCGGGAACCGTCAGGCTGAACGGCAGCAGGTCCATGTGCAGCAGCGGGAGGAGCTCCCCCGCCCCCGCCGCCGCCGCGCCCTCCGCGCCTCCCGCCCCAGCCGCCGCCGCCCCCGCCGCCACCGTCGCCGCCACCGTCCCCAACGGCGCAAGATCCGCCGGATTCCCCGCGACCAACGTGTTCCACGCGGTAACGCCGGCGGCGACGGCGGCGACGGTGAGCGCGGGCGGGACGATGGCGCCGACGACGGTCGAGCGGAGGAGGTTGCGGAAGTGGCGGTTGTGACGGAACGACGACGCGTGCCTCTGGGTGATGGGAGAAGGGGAGGGGGACGGCGTGTTGAGAGAAAGCGCAGGAAATGGGAGCGGGAGCGTGAGGGGAAAGAGGATGGGAAGGGGGAGTGGATAACGACGAGACGAGGAGGCGGGTGGGATTGCAAGCCAAGAGTGTTGCGCGGAGGAGGTTGCGGAAGTGACGCTTGTGGCGGAACGAGGACGCGCGGCGGGCACTGGGACGCCACGGGGCGCCAGTGGGGAAAGTTGGTGCGCCTTGGGTGGCTAGCGGTGGCTCCTCACCTTCCAGTCGTCATGCCCGAATACGATCCGCCTGTTGCGCAATGCTCGGAATCGCGTCTCGTCGAGAGCACCCGCGTCCACCAGCACGCGCGCATTGAACCCCCTTCTCGCCCCCTTCCCCTGCGCCTTTTCCACCTGCGTTGCGCATATCCTGCTCCCCCTTCGCGCCGCCTGGCGCACTCCACCGCGCGCGCCTATGCCCGCACTGGCGGAAGCGCCGCCGCTGCGCGATCCTCGTCTATCATGGCGGCTTCCGCCGACAGCGGCACGAACGTCGTTGCGCGCAGGGGAGGAAGCAGCTATGGCAGCGGATCCGTGGAGAACACGGGAAAGACTCTCCGCAAGATGCGAGCCGGTGAATTCGCTGACCTTGAAGCCCAAAGCGGGTTTCCCAGTGCCGCCAGTGCCGCCGTATACGCCATTGCTGCCAATCGTGGCGGCGGTGGCGCCGGAAAGAAGCGGTTTGTTGTCCAGAGTGCGAGGAGAGGAGGGGTACGCATGAAGAAGGGGGGAGGACGAGGAGAGAAGGAACGTGGGAGCTCGAAACGCCCGTCCGTTGCGGACTGCGGAGGGGCTTTTAGGGGAGCGCGACCTCGGACTGCTTTTCGGGGACTGCTGCGGCCCGGAGCCGCATGTCATGAGCGCACCGTGTGAGGCGCGCACGGTGGTACTCCGCAGGCACGCTGACGGGTGCTGGAGATGCAGGGACCGTGGAATGAGCAGCAGAGGCGACATGATGATATGTTGGTCGTCGTGTCGTTCTGGTCGAGTTTGCTGTCGTCGTCTACTCGACGAATTGCAACAGCGAGACGCGCCGACTGTACGAGTAGTTACTTGATTAAGGGGTAGCAGGTGAACAAGAGTGTTCGCGACAGCAGCTGTGGAAATTGAGTGCGTGAGGAGTTAGGAATAAGGAGTAAGAGTGGAGAGGGAAGGATCGAGGAGTAAGAGCTAATTCAAGTGGAGTATGCTGATGAGAGAAGGAGCGCGGCAGCAGCCGTGCGTGTTCAAACTGCGCAATTGTGCTGTGGGCTTGACGCAATTGTCAGGCGGAAAGGCGAGAACAGAGAGGCGCATTCACGGGAAACGCAGCACATATACTTCGAAGAGCAAGACGGAAGAATATATTGCAACGTAGTCAGAACTTCACGTCGACGGTCTGATTCTAGGAGGCGATTCTGTAAAGGAGGCGGGGGAGGTCACGCGATGCGCCGAGGTGGATTAGAGCACAATTGACGTTGCAAGCGTGCCTGGAGTGGCTCTTCTGCGGTTCTGTGATTCATAATCGTCTGCCAACGCGCGGCCATGCTTGCAGAACCGGAGGTAGAAGAAGGAAGCGCGACTCGATGTGCCAGGCAAATGGAAGGTGGAGGTTTTGACGAATTAGCAATTGGAAGGCGCGATGCATGTTCCTGTGCGAATTTTGTTTGACCAGTGCACTCCTGGCACTGAAAATACTATGTAGAAAGTTGTCAAATATATTCCTTAGGAAGAATGTTGGTAAATAGGCATCATAGTGCATTCTGTGCACTACTTCATAAGCTTGGGCCTGTTGTATCAAATATACATATCGCTACTGGAAACAAAACCTTCCCGGAAAATAAGCCTGCGGAATTCGGTCATGAATGTGGATGGAAACACGAAGCGTCATGACTATGAGGCTCCAGCCGCGACAGGCGTTTCAACCGACGTATGATTGAAGATCATTGGCTGGGAGGGAGGAAATCAAACAACTATCGAAACTGTGTACCAATAGAACGACCTCCAGCACTATCGGGTATGGCAGATATAGCTGGAGATGGTGCGTGGATCTGGAACAAACGTCCACGGTGTCCATGTGCAATTAGCCAGACTGTCCCAGGCAGAATCCTCGATGCACACTACTTGATTACAAACATATAATTGGTCCTACAAGTTCCGGATGGCCCTTCAATACTCATGCATATTGGTGCATCTAGGTGTGAAGAGGAAAAGCCCACAAAATCATAGCTACAGCAAAATCAGAAGATAAATTCTGGTGCAAAAAAAATGCTAGGGAAAAATGGCAAACTTATGTTACATTTCTGCATATTGAAATTCTTAGGGCTATTTCACGGTATCTGTTCACAAGTGTAACTACTCGAAGTGCTAATTGTCTCGTGCCTATATATATGGTGCTATATCCTATCAGAATATTCTAAGGAACTGTTGGACATGATAAGGTTGTTATGAGATGCCTGTTTAATATAGCGGAACTCTTTCTTGTGCGACCTTGATCATAGTGAAGATAAATGACAAGATTATTATTACTGCGATCAGAAGTTGATCGTGGCCTAGGATCTACACAGGTGTTGGGAACAAATAGTCTTAAGCGCCTCTATCGTGTCGAAACTCAAGACACAAGCGAAGCAGCCCAAATCGAAGCACCGCGAGTCAACCCTCGGAGGTTAACGTAACCGCTGGAGGTTACGAGAAAGTCAAAGGTCAGCGACCTTTGACCTGACGCAGCGCGACAGCAAGGACACACAACTGACTCGACATTGAGCAGTTGCCCGAGTCGCACTGTATCGAACCGCAACAGTAAAACAGTTACAATTATGTATCTTCATATTCTCTGTACTCATATATATATTCCAGTATCTCTTTGCTTTAATCAACTTACTTTGCCCTCACATACTAGCGCAAGGTGGTTCAAAAGACTTTATTCAAACGCTTCCGCTACTACATCATTTACTCAGACTTTAACTTTACTAAAGATCCTAGGGCGTCTCAGCCCAACATGTGTGAAACTGAAGAACAGGAATGAAATGACTAAGGAAAGATTGGGTACAAATACAACCCTAGAAAACCTGTACCCCATATGTGCTACCCCACTATAGCCTACAGCAACTATGTCATATAAATCTGACACACCCCCATAGGCAAAGTGGGGGAGAACAAGGGGTCACAAGACCAGTCAAGCAAAGCAAAGCAAGCTCAGGGTGGATCACAAAGTCACCACACAGTCCGAGCACAAGAGTAGGGCCAGAGGCCAGTTCACATGCAGGAGTACAGACATACATATAAAACTAGACAAGCAAGAGCAGGCATATATATATGTCACAGTACAAGTGAAGTCAAGAGGAGAGCAAGTGAGGCAAGACAGGCACAAGACCCAGCTGGGTGCAAAAGCGCTGATGGTCACAAGGCGCGAGTGCCTTGGTGAACACATCAGCAGTGTTGGCCTCAGAGGCCACGTACGCAAGTCGCAACTGACCACGCTGCTGCAGCTCACGAGCAAGGAAGTAGCGGAGAGCAATGTGCTTCGTTCTGTGCTCCAAGCGCTGCTCTCGACACAAGGCCAGCATGGCCTTGTTGTCTACGTACAGCACTGGAGGAGAACGAGGCGGCTCTCCAAGGTCAGTCAGCAGGTAGGTGAGCCAGCGAAGCTCCTGTGCAGCCATGGCCCCGGCGTAGATCTCAGCCTCACAACTGGAGCCGAGAACCGAAGACGAGCGAGTAGACCGCCACGAGACAGAGCCGGAACCAAGACTGAAGGTGTAACCCTGTGACGACCGCTGCGTAGCCTGGTCGTCAGCCCAAGAAGCGTCCGCGTGGCCGGTAAGGACCACTGGACTCCGCCCTCCAAGCACTAGCCCCATGCCCGACGTACTGCACAGGTAGCGCAATACCCTCTTCGCTGCAGCCATGTGCTCCGGTCTGTGTCTCCCAGGAGCAACATAGCGTGCAAGAATGCTCAGAGGGTATGCAAGGTCAGGTCGTGTGCAGGTCATCAGGTACATGAGGCAGCCAACAAGCTCTGCATACGGACCACTCGACTCTACGGACTCATCCGAAGGCAGAGCTGAGAGTGAGTGGCGAGTAGGCAGAGGAGTGGCCTGAGGCGAGGAGTACGTGAAGCCGAAGCGCTGAAGGACCTGCTGCACCATGTGTGACTGAGTCAAGGTAATGGTGCGGCGTGCTCTGTCCCGAGTGATCTGCAAGCCAAGGTAGCTGCGCAGTTCACCCAGGTCTGTGCACGTGTGTCTCTTCAGCAGCTCGGACTTCACGTAGGCGAGTCCAGCAGTGTCCGCTGTGGCAAAGACCAAGTCGTCGACGTACACGAGGATGTAGAACGGCGGCAGGGAAGTGTCGGTGCGAAGAAACAGCGACGGGTCAGCAGTAGAAGGAGCAAACCCAAGAGCCGCAAGCGTAGTCCTCAGTGTGTCGTGCCACTCACGCGGTGCCTGGCGGAGACCGTAGACTGGCCGTCGGAGGCTCCACTGGGTGCCAGGAGGGAAAGTCCCAGTGAAGCCAGGTGGACGGCGAAGCCAGATCTCCTCGTGCAGGCTACCCTGCAAGAACGCAGTGCTGAAGTCGAGAGAGTGAAGCTCGTAGTCGCGCTGAGCGGCTATGTGCAGCAGCACCCGAAGAGTAGTCATCTTCGGGGTGGGAGAGAAGGTCTGAAAGTAGTCAACTCCCTGCCGCTGACTGAAGCCACGAGCAACGTACCGTGCCTTGAAGACAGGTGGAGAGCCCGGCGGCCGCTTCACCCTGAAGATCCACATGCCACTGACGATGTTCGCCCCAGGAGGGGGAACCGCGTCAACGTAGGTGCCTGTGGACTTCCAGGAAGCCATCTCTGCATCCATAGCTGCCTGCCACTGAGAGGAGTAGGGACCCTCTACGGCCTCCGCGTAAGAACGCGGAGTCGGGATGTCTAGTGCATCCGGGTCTCCCTCAGGGGCAAGCAGTACAGACGCGAGATGAGGTGAAGCAGCCGCTAGACACTGTAACTCCTCCTGCCTGTCCTCTAGGACGTCCGTGCCAAGAGCACACTCACCCCCGACGGACGGAGGACAGACAGACGCAGACTCAGCAACAAGACTAGCAGCGTAGTCGAGACGACAGCGAGCAGCAAAGTCGACGAGCTCAGCGACTAGAGCAGACGCAGCAGTGGACTCAAAAGAGGGGTCAGTGACGACAGTAGCAAGCAGACGCGTGACAGTAGGACTGGCAGCACGAAGAGAGTCCGACTCAGGGTCGGCAAGCGCAGGAAGAGAGGACTCAGGAGGAGAAGGCAAAGGGGCACGCAGAGGAGCAGTGGACGGACGTAAAGACATCCGGTGCGTGCCAGGGACAGGAGGAGGACGCTGACGCGAACTGCGACCACTAGCGCGAGCAGCACGAACAGGCGACGCGGGACGAGACGCAGGCTCACGACGCTCAGCAAGACCTCCAGTAGGACCAGTGTAAGGAGAGGGAGCAGGCAGTGGAGAGGAAGGCTCCAGCAGGGACTGCGAGTGGACAGGCGGTGGACCCTCTACTGGAGGAGAAAGACCAAGAACCTGCTGCAGGAGCGGAACGAAGTACGGCCGAGGCCGCGCGGCAGCTCCAGACTCAGCAGGGACAGCACCAGCACCCTCAGCGACAGCACCAGCGCCACCCACACCTCCAGCGGCAGGACCAACAGCAGTAGGCTCAGCACCAACGCCCTCAGCAGCTCCAGCTCCAGGAGGACCCGCAGGTCCAGCAGCTCCGGGACCGGCAGCACCCGCACCCTCGACGGTCGAAGAAGCTCCAGCCCCAGCTCCAGCAGCACCTCCAGACTCAGCAGCACGCCTCCAGCGGCGAGCGAACCACTCGCGCAGCTCCTGTGGAGAGAGGGGCTCCCGGCGAGA